CGTATTCAATAACCTTACAGTCATTGAACAAACAACATCATATTTTTGCATTGTGATGAAATTTTGTACCGAAAAGTGATGATTTAAGGAAAGCATTAAATTTTTGTTTCCATTTGAAGAAAAGTGCTGCATATTCAAATCGAATGCTTGTCGAGGCATATGGTGATCACGTTCTATCAGGAACAAACAAAACAAGGTGGTTTCAACAGTTCAGAGATAATGATTTTTATGTGAGAAATGAAGACAAAAGGGTGGAAAATAGGTGCCACATAAATTTAATGAAAAAAACACTTGTAAAATGAAAAACTTGAAACATGAAAACTTTATTTATTTTAAGAATCCTAAAGGGAGAACGCTTTGTGTTTGGTGGGATCAGAAGGGTGTGGTATATCATGACCTTCTAAAACCAGATGAAACTGTTAATACTAATCGCTACAGACAACAAATGATCTATTTGAACTATGTATTGATCGAAAAACGACCAGAATGGGTCAGAAGACACGGCAAAGTAATTTTGTTACACGACAATACACCAGCACATAATGCAAAATCGGTTCATGATGCAATCTAAGTACTCGGCTGGGAGCTGTAGAGTACATTGTTTAATCGATGGGCATTCACGCATTGGTTGAGCAGCACTCGACTCCTACGCTGAAGTCGAAAATTGGATATCTGATTGGTTCGCATCTATATATCTAGGATTGTTAAGGAAGTTTTCGATATTTTGAACACCGTATTTATGTGCAGTGGAAAAGGCACAAAGGATAAGAGGAGAAAACGTAATTTATTGTCAAAAATGTAATTTACTCAAAAGTATATTCCTAGGAATAGCCGATTATACGACTCTTTATATTCGAAACCCTTCCCACGGTCCCTTAATTTTATTTTTAGCAAATTGTTGCCAAAGTGTAGTTTGTCTCGTCCAGCTTTTTCTCCAGAGGCTCAACAAATATCTCACCTCTCTATGTATTTATTCAAAATAACAGATCAAAATAGTTTAAAATTAAAAATAAAATAGTTTTTTACTTATCGTTCAAATATCTTAAAACCTGCTTATCATTGATCATGCTGAGATTACAAGACTATAGACATAAACAAACATAAATTTATATGCATGCATTCAATACAAATATAATATATTTACTTAGAATACTACTACTACAAGAACAATGACAGTCATCTGAGCCGGCAATATGACGTCACAGCTGAAAAATTTTGTCAGCACGCAGAACAAAGTTTTTATCATTTTCTAAGAGCCTTGTGCAAAAACTGATGTAAACAAACGTGTGTGATTTTGCACCTCCCTTTAACATATGAGATATCGGAATTGATTCACTATATATCTACACTGCTCACTAAATCTTTCACAAGTGAAAAACTTTTTGCGCAGTATATAATAGAATTTTTACCCTGAACAGGGTATATTAATTTGCCACGAAGTTTGTAACACCCAGAAGAAACGTCGGAGACCCTATAAAATATATATAAATGATCAGTATGATGAACTGAGTTGATTTAGCCATGTACGTCTGTCTGTCTGTCCGTCTGTGCGTCTGTCTGTATATATACAAACTAGCCCTCAGTTTTTAGCTATCGATCTGAAATGCAAAATGCACCTGTCCTTTTCTCAAACAGGAGCTTCTCATTTGTCGAATACCGATATCGGACCACTATAGCATATAGCTGCGATACAAAACTGAACAATCGAATCAAGGTTTGTATGGGAAACTCTTTCATTTGTCGAGGTATCTTCACGAAATTAGACACGAGTTCTTGCTTAAGGCAAAAATTTAATCTCCGATGAAATTATTCAGATCATATAAACTGAACAATCGAATGAAGTGCTTGTATGGAAACTCTTTCATTTGACGAGAAATCTTTACGAAATTTGGCACGTATCTTATTTAGCATTAATGCAATCTCCGAAGAAATTGTAAAGATCGGATGACGATAGACTATAGCTGCCATACAACTGAACAATCGGAATCAAGTGCTTGCTGGAAAACTTTTTCATTTGACTTCCGAAATTCGGCTGGATTATTATTTAAGGCAGTGTTTTCAATCTGTGGGTCGCGACCCTAAGGGGTCGCAAAGCCTTACTCGGGGTCGCCAGCTGAAAGAAAAAGTCGAGGTTCTTACACAACAAAACACAATTTTAATGAGAAAGATATGCTTGTTTATTTTCATTAATTTATCAAATTGTGGTGTTATTTTTGAAACATTAATAATTTAATCATTTTCTAATTGCAGTCTATTTCTCTTTTTAGTTTAAATAGTCTACCATTGAAGAAAATGTCAGATGAAGTGGCGAATGGCACTAATAATTTAAGAGCTTCCCTGCCAGCTCTGGATATTCGTGTTTTCTTTTCATCCAAAATACGTCGACAATTTGCAAATAAAATTCCTTTTAAGCATGCCATCAGTAGCTAATTCTAGAACGATTCTTTCATTTTTTGTGTGACATCAGCCAGATTTATTGATTGTTCCAAAAAAGTTAAATCCATCTACACCCATTGTCAGCTTCAGAGTGCAAGTCTGGAAAGTATGTCAAAGTTTATCTTGTAAATTATGCAAGCTTTGATCATGCAAGGAATATGAGCGATACTGCAAACTTTGGTCTGATGCATTATCTTCAACAATCTTCTGAGCCACGGAAAAGACTCAAACATTTTGTTTTGCGAGAGGTCGACCACAAACGAAGTTTTGCGTGAAATGCTTTTACTTTATCTTTAGCTTTAAAATCTTTCTTCTCTTCCTTGAAGGTTCTTGTTCAAATTGTTTAGTGGCTAAAAGATCTGCCAAAATGCTATTTCAGAGCCAAATAGGGTCAGAAAAACCTAACATATTCTGATTTTGCATCTTGTAGAACATTAACATTCAGCTCTCAGTTCCAGAACTCTTGTCAATACCTTTCCTTTGATAGCCACCTGATCTCTGTGTGATAAAGGAGATTTTGATGAACGAGCCCATATCTTCACAAACGATTCTGAATAGCCGGGTTTGCAAGCTTTACCTTTGATAGAATTCACAATTTTTATTACCTCCTTGAGCACGTCATTTAAATCAGAAGGTATTACCTTAGCAGCAAGAGCCTGTCATGAAGAAAACAGTGTGTCCAGGATATTTTTGTATTATCGATTTTAATTTTGCATGAGTCCGCTATTTTTGCCAGTCCATAGCTTTAGCGCCATCGCTACAAATAGCGATACATTTTCCAATCAATAGTAGTCGCAATGCTTTCTAAAACATATCGTACAAACATGCCAGCAGTGGTTTTGCAGGAAGTGCTTTGCAAAATAAGATTTCTTCCGTAATACTGTCATTCTGCTTCAAAGCGCACAAATACTACAAACTGTGCACAGGAAACATCTGTAGATCCATCGAACTGCAAGGCAAAATGTTGGCTATTCTTTAATTTTCGACTACTTGTTCTTTGAATATCCTTGCCATATCTTATTCTGCGTGAAATAGTATTGTCAGAAAGTGGTATTTTTAATTTGTTTGCCTCCTGCTTACTGACATAATTTCAACCATATCGAGTGCCGCTAGCAAAATAGATTTCGGCAATTGAGTGGTTTCCCTGCTTTAGCAACTCGATAGCGACTTTGTAGCTAGCTAATAACGTTGACTCGTTGACACTGGATGCCTGAAAATAAACCAAACAATATACAAGTGAACAGTCAAAAAATATAAGGACGCGGAACCTTTGCACACCGAAATTAAGTATAATCATAAGTTGTATACAAATAACAAAGAAATAAACTCCAACAGTAAAAATATAGTATAAAACAAGTAAGGAAGGGCTAAGTTCGGATGTAACCAAACATTTTATATTCTCGCAAAGTCAAATGGTATACTCATTTGAGATTTCTTTGTCGATTGGCTGATATTTTCGGTAGAAGGTCAACTATAGGCACTGGGGACCACATATTTAGTACTCAGGGGCTTGAACAGTTTTGGTTCGATTTAGACAATTTTTGGTCACAAGGTGGCATACTTTAAACGTATTATTCAGGCACAGTTTTACCCAGATATAATCATTGTTGCTTGATATGCATAGTCGAAAGTGAAAGAATCAGATGGAATTGAAAATGGTGTTATATGGGAAATAGGCATGGTGGTAGTCCGATTTCGTCCATTTTCGCACTATAACATAGAAATATGAAAAGAACGTCATGCACCGAATTTGGTTTAAATCGGTTAAGCACATCCCAAGATATGGGTTTTCACCTAAAAGTGGTCTGTGCCACGCCCACTGCCTAATTTTGAACGCGGTTCCTATAAAGTCATCTCATACCATCCCAGAGATAAAATTTAATGTCTCTGGCGTGTTAAGTGCTTGATTTATCACGCTTTTAGTAGTTTTTGACTGGGCGGAGTTGCCACCCGATTTCAACTATTTTCACACCGTCAATAGAAGTGCTAAAAACATTTGCTTCCAGTGAATTTTGTTATAATAGCATTAGCGGTTTAGGAGATATGCACATTAAACCTATTAGAGGCGGGACCACGCCCATTTTTTAAAAATACTTTAACTGCAGATGCCCCTTCCTAATGTGATCCTGTGTAACAAATAACAGTCTTGTATCTTATTGCGGAGCTTAGTTATGGCAATTTATTTGTTTTTGATGAATGGCGTTTTGTGGGCGTGGCAGTGGTCCGATTACGCCCATCTGCAATACCAACCGTCTCAAGGTACCAAGAAACATGTCTACCAAGTTTCATAAAGATATCTCAATTTTTACCCAAGTTACAGCTTGTACGGACGGACAGACGGACAGACAGTCATCCTGATCATTTATATATATATAACCCTGTATCTAACTCGATTAGTTTTAGGTGATACAAACAATCGTTAGGTGAACAAAACTGTTATACTCTGTAGCAACATGTTGCGAGAGTATAAAAATAGTATTATTGTGAAAAAAGGTTGGGGCGCTTTTTAAGAGCTGATTTATAGTGCACCCCACGCTTTTTCATTATTTTCTTACTTACCTGAATTATAGTATAATATTTTGCTGCTGACTAAGAGCTTTCAACTTTCGTTCAAAGAAATCCAACGGCTTATCAGCTTCTTTTTGATACTTGGTTGTGAGATGCCGCATACGCTTTGACGGTTTTATACTCTCACGTGATAAAACATCGCCGCAAATTACACATTGATGTTTATTATTTACGACTATGAACCCGTATTTCAAATAACTGTCATCATAATGCCTATTTTTATTCGGATTCGATTCACCACCACCGCTATTGATACTCGTACCAGATGTTGAAGGCTGCGATCCTTTGAGAAATTTATCCATTTTATATTTTTATGAACTCATGGGCGACTACGCTTAACTAAGTGATAAAAGTTGAAACAAAAACAAACAACATTGCGGGTGGCGCGCGCGGGACGCTTGCTGTTACGGCAACGACAATCATGTCGTGCGGTGTGGCAACGTCGCCGTCGCCGATGCAGTATGACCCGCGCGAATAATAGATAAATTTGCCCAAATAGGAAAAAATTATTACCTAACGTATGTAGTCTTTTAATTAAAATTAAATTATTTCTTTGACTTACTATGACACAAGGGGGTCGCCAGAATATTTCAACCTGTAAAGGGGTCGCGAAATCAAAAAGATTAAAAAACACTGATTTAAGGCAATTATCTAATCGCCAAAGAAATTGTATAGATCGGATGACTATGACATGTAGCTACCATATTAACTGAACGATCGGAGTAAAGTGCTTGCATGGAAACTTTTTTTAGTTGACGAGGTATCTTCACGAAATTAGACACGAGTTCTTGCTAAGAACAAATTATTCTCGCAGAAATTGGTAGATCAGATCACTATATATAATAGCTGCCATACAAATTGAACGTTCGGAATCAAGTTCATGTAAGGGCCTTTGTATTTGTGAAGGGTATATAGCTTGGTGCAACCGATGTTAACGTTTTTCTTGTTTTTCTTTAATAAATTCAAATTTGTAATTAAAATTAGTTATAATAACATACGAGTACATAAATATAAAAAAGGAGTGCAACAAATATATAATTAAATATTAAATAAAGAAAAGAAATTTTCACTTGATTCCATGCGTGCTCCCCTCAAAAGCTCTGCTGTACATGTTTCTCCAGATCATGGCTATTTCGGAATTTAAAAATGCCTAAATAAAAATGATAATTAACTAAAAATATAATTTTATTTAAAACTTAATAATAAATTACATATATTATATTTGAAAGCTACTTCGTTATATAATATATTTATCTTTAAGAATCTCGAAATTCGAGATACCCAGCTGTAAGTCTGTAAATACTTGTAAAATTCTCTACAAATTCTTTTTAAAAAAATTTTTCATACGGTGAACCGTTTTCGAGATAGAGGGCGGAGAGCGCGCGGTCACGGCATCACTTCAGGTCAACTGGTGCCTCCGGTCAAAAACGCGCCATATATAGTTGATGAACTATCGATAAATCAATGATTATAAATATTTGTCAATTTATTAACTATTATATATATTTTATCATTTTTCCTAACCTATCCACTTTTATTCAGTATTAATTTATTTAACAACACTTACCTGCCCATGAAATTGCAGATGTTAATGAAATATAGCAATTACATTTGAATTTAAACCTTATTAATATCAATAACTTTTACATGATAATGTAAGATTAGATGCAGGAAAGCGGCTGCAATGCTCTTTAGCTTGTGCTAATGTAATGGGCAAGCTTGTCTCAATGCTCTACCATATCAGAGCGACATTAACGAAGATGAACTTTTGACCCGAAATCATGGAAGAACTGAAACAAATGCGTTGAAGACGATAATGAAGACCAGTTTGAAATTTACCAGCAGCCGGAAGACGACGATGAAGAGGAAGAAGATGATTAAAATTATAAATTGTAGTTTTTGTACCTTTATTCCATTTTTACTTTTAATAAAAAAAATGTATTGAATGATTTTTTAATAAATTTTTTATTTTTTTATCATGTAAGAAGTTATTAATATAATAAGGTTTAAATTCAAATATAATTGCTATATTTTCATTACAATTCTGCAATTTCATGGCAGGTAAGTGTTGTTAAATAAAATTAATACTGAATAAAAGTGGATAGGTTAGAAAAAATGATAAAATATAATATAATAGTATAAAATTGACAAATATTTATAATCATTGATTTATCGATAGTTCATCAACTATATATGGCGCGTTTTTGACCGGAGGCACCAGTTGACCTGAAGTGATGCCGTGACCGCGCGCTCTCCACCCTCTATCTCGAAAACGGTTCACCGTATGAAAAATTTTTTTAAAAAAAATTTGTAGAGAATTTTATATTCTACAATATTGATAATAAATACCAATAGCAAAAAACCCATAGGAAATGAGATATTTACAAAAAAAGCGCAAAAAACCGATTTTTGTGACCTTTGACCTTGAAATTTAATTGTTGCGTACACCCTACCATATGTAGGTTTTGAGACAACTTTTAGGGTGTCAATATACAAGTATTTACAGACTTACAGCTGGGTACCTCGAATTCCGAGGTGAACTTACTATAATGACTGGACTATAACACCAAAATAGTTTTTGCACAGAATCACGAAACACTCTGGTTTATCGCACGGAATAACAGCTACTATGCAGCTGGTTGCTGTCTCTTTTCGACTTATACATAATTTGCTTTTGGAAAAATCATAAACATTGACGGTCGTTTTATTGTTCATTTGATTGTCAGTGGTGACAGTACTAAGGAATGCAGCTATTTCATTCTTACATGTGTCAAGCTATAGTAAGCAATATAAATCATAAGGGTCTCTTTTTAACAATACTACTGACATAACAAATGTAAGTGTATTGGTGAATTCATCAGCAGTTTCTTATAGGGTTAAGAGCATGCATATATTCAAAGATACATAAATAGATGTATACAAATGTTATGGTACATATATTGATTCTAAAAATAAATTAGACAGTTGCTTATAAATGTATGCACTTGAAAATTTCGTATCGCACAAAATTACCACTTTCACCAGAAGTTTCAACACAGTTACACATTTATTCTTCTAGCACTAAAACCAACGCACACTTTCTTTTTTAATTAATTTTTAATATAACGTACTAAGTTACACGTGTGCTCGAATCTGGGTTGAAATCGGTTAAGCAGATCCCAAGATATGGGTTTTCACCTAAAAGTGGGCGGTGTCACGACCACTACTAATTTTGAACGCGGTTCCTATAAAGTCATCTCATACCATCCCAGAGATAAAATTTAATGTCTCTGGCGTGTTTAGTGCTTGATTTATCGCGTTTTTAGTAGTTTTTAACAGTACCGGTATATGGGGAGTGGGCGGAGTTGCCACCCGATTTCAACTATTTTCACACTGTGGGTAAAGGTTCTAAAAACATTTGCTTCCAGTGAATTTTGTTATTATAGAATTAGCGGCTTATGAGATATACACATTAAACGGATTAGGGGCGGGACCTCGCTCACTTAAAAAAAAAGAACCTTAATGTGATCCTGTGTACCAAATAACAGTCTTGTATCTTATTGTGGAGCTTAGTTATGGGAATTTATTTGTTTTTGATTAATGGCGTTTTGTGGGCGTGGCAGTGGTCCGATTACGCCCATCTGCAATACCAACCGTCTCACGGTACCAAGAAACATGTCTACCAAGTGTCATAAAGATATCTCAATTTTTACTCAAGTTGGAGCTTGCACGGAAGGGCGGACGGACGGACGGACAGACAGTCACCCGGATTTCAATTTATATATATAATCATTTATATATATATCATTTATATATATATAACCCTATATCTAACTCGATTAGTCTTAGGTGATACAAACAACTGTTAGGTGAACAAAACTATTATACTCTGTAGGAACAGGTTGCGAGAGTATAAAAAATAGTAATAAACAATACACATATAGAGGAAATTATGGCTTTACAGTTTTTTGGCTCGGGCTATGAAACAATTAAATAACATATTAAGCAATAATGAAATATAATATGATCTGGAAGAACCTACGTATTTCCGCTTGATTTACTTGTATTTAAATTTTCCAAGCTAATGTTAAGGCGCTTTGCATGATTATGCAAGTTTGAAGTATTATCGCAAAACTTTATCAAAATTTTGCAATGAATGCATATAGCATCCTTATTGTTAATTTTTTCGAAATCTTCCCAAATTTTTAATATGGGAGCACTTTTCTTAAAATCCCGTTTTTTTTGCACTCTATCGAAAGTTTCTTACAAAAGAAACGAAGTTGTGAAATACATATTTATGGAACCGTAAGCTTGAAAAAACAAATGAGGGAAGATATGAGAAATTATGTTACCATACATATGTACATATTTTTCATAGAATTGGCTGCAAAAAGAGAATAAGAAAAGAGGAGCAACGTAATTTATTTGGCGTTGCCATGCTTATTTTTGTGCGGATATTTTATATCGGAGTTTCATTAACTTTGTTATGAGTAAATACTTGTACAATGTACTCGATACCCACCAATTACTTGTGCACACGTATTGAAGACAAAAAATACTTGGAGTACTCGAGTATTTACTTCGATGTACTGGTATCGGAACTTCACTATATACAAATAAATTTAATTAGATAAGTAAGAATTGAAAATTGTAGAAAAGGAAAAGAAGAACCATAATAAAATCAGATTCAAAATATTTCTATTCGAATACAAGTCTTTTCTGTCCTGCACCAGCGGTAAGATATTAAAGAACTGTATTGAGTTTTAACACTCATTTTCCATTTTCTATTAATATTTTTCTTAATTAAACGCAGTACTGTTCTACTCCACCTGCTTTGTAGTAGTTTTTTTTTGACGGGTTAAGTTGATATCTATAATACCGAATTTCATCACATCATCGACTAAAAGCTTTTCGAAAATAATTTTTTCCATATATTAATTCGTAATGCACTTATGTATACACCTACCCAAAAAATTTCATTGTCATTAGAATCTTACTTAAATAGAAAATCATCGTTAGGTCTACTTTTTTGTTAATTGTCTCGTTTGCCTCGCTTGTGCAATATCAACTTATCAACTAAAGAGTACTATGTTTTTGTAGTTTTTTTGCTATTGTTGAAATAAATGGTAAATTTTCTGTCGTATTCTGCGCAGGATTGTCTTTTTATACAATATGAAAAAAATTAGTCTAATCATCTGTATGGTATTATATGAAAATTGACCCAGTGTTGAAAAAATTGTGATGTATTAACTCAAAAATATAGTGTTGTGAACGGTGTTTTCTTCCCGATAAGCTAGCTTCTTTGTTAAATTTTAGGTTTAGC